AGGGGCTAAGTCTGGACTGAGTTTTTTCAAGAAGAATTTTGTTGAGTAATAAAATGTCAACATGGTCTTAAATACACACACAAAGCTTTACATCATAGAACCAACAGTCCTTGGCCACCCTTCATCAGCTGCAGAAGAGTCAGGCCAGGTGTATCTCCTTGTCCATCAGGGTCTTGCCTGCTGGCAGGAGGCTTGTTTTGCACTTTTCAAGAACCAGGGGAAAAGCTCTGAAATACATTCTTATCCCTGTCCTGGTTAATTACGTCGAAAATGCTTTATAATGGAGATTTATCCTCCACAGAAGAGGCCAGAGGGAAAAACTTTCTGCCCTCCGAAGCTGTGACATTCCCAAGGTGAAAAGAGGTACAGACAAGTGAAGTGTCTTTCATTGGCTTCTGTAAAGACAAAGAGGTATGAAGAAAGCATTACTGTAAACCAGAGCAGAGCAAGGGCTGATTATAAAATCGTGGYTCAGGTATGTGTTAATAAAGATCTGTTACAAATATTTTTCAAGCCTGGCATTGATTTTATATTAAAGGAAGCAGCAAAGCTTTTATTTGTTATAGAGAGGGTTAATTTGCTTTCAACTTATATACTAAAAAATTATAAACTTMGAAGAAAAGAGTAAGAAGAAAAAAACTTGTCTTGGTCATAAACTCTTTGCTTGTTCCTGGAGCTTAAAATCTGGGGGTATTTTCAGTCTAGGAAGTAAGAGAACAGAGTTTCTGTTGAGAGGCAAGGTGTTGGGATGAGAAGTGTGTTTGCAGAACGAAAGCTGGTTTCAGTAAACACCCTGTGAGAACCAGAATTCACCTGTTAAAACCTGGCCTTCAGCTACTTGACTTCAAAGTGACCTCAGAGCTGAATTTAAAAAGGGGTGGAGATACAGGGATCACTTAGGAAAACCTGCTGGTGTGGTTTAGACTGGAATTTAACTTGTGGTTTGAAAACAACTGTTATTAAAAGCTTGCTCCAGTTGGAGGGCTTGAAATCACTTCTCCTTCCTCCACTGCAGGGTTCTCACCTCATTTCTCCAAACTCAAAGCAAAGCTGCCAGGAGAAACCCCTGGGGAACAATTGCAGTGCCTGCCTTTGTTTGTTGGAGAGGAAACTGCCTTGTACTTAGTTAAGTAATCAGCTGCAGTTTGATAGAGTAAGGCCTCTTCAATAAACCTGGAAGTGTTTCCATGAAGAGAGAACAGCGGGCAAATTCTGCAGTGGAACAAGGTCAGGCATTCTGCTCAATGACAGGGGCTTGCCCAGCTCCGAAGGCAATAAAAAAGGCATTGTTGGGCTTCCCTCAGCCCAGGCCTGTACCAGGCAGCTCCACAGGCACATTAACTGCCATTGTTTGCAGCAGCCCTGGCWGCCAGTGCATTTACACACAGAGGTTTATGATGCCTTAAAGAACCTAAAACCATAAACACGACAACAAATGTCACAGCCCCAAACACCACTGAACTGTGACAGCAGACATGTGTCTGCATGGATGTGCTAAAAGAGCAACTTTGACTTAAACTCTTAATAAGAAGAAATATATATCTGAGAGGCTACATGACTAGAATGATGAAATCTGCAGACCCTMGATACACAAAATGGAGTTTAAATTAGTTTTCTACAACACAAGTGTAAATGAAGTTAGTTTACATTCACAGTTGTGATGATGATCATAGAATCATAAAACACTTTGGTTTGGAGGGAACAGTTAAAGGCCATCCAGTCCAACTCCCCGGCAATGAGCCAGGATATCTTCCAGTAGAWCAGGTTGCTTAGAGCCCCATCTAAGCTGACCTTGAATATTTGCAGGAATGGGGTATTACCACCTCTCTGGGCAAGCTCTGCCAGTGCCTCACCACTCCCATTGTAAAAAAYTGCTTTGTGATACCTCGTCTAAACTGACAATCCTTTAATTTAAAGTTATCCCCCCTTGTCCTATTGCAACAGGCCCTGCTAAAAAGTTWGTTCCCTTTCTTGTTACAGGCTCCCTTCAAGTACTGAAAAGCCCCAAAAGGATCTCCCTTGAGCCTCTTCTTCTCCAGGCTGAATAACCCCAACTCTCCATAGCAGAGGTGCTCCAGCATCTTTGTGGGTCCCTATGGACTTGCTCCAACAGCTCCATGCCCTTCTAGTGCTGGGGCCCTGGAGCTGGATGCTGCTCTCCAGGTGGGGTCTCACCAGAATCACCTCTCTTGATCTGCTGATAAAATCCATCAACCATCAAGGACCCTTTCCAGGTACTAAAGGAAGCAATGTCTGTGTGCTGAACATCACAATCACCAATCTGTGCATTAAACATCAATTTTACGATATYACGTGGATGGAAAAAACAAGCAAAGAGCTGGATAGTGCCAGTAAGTTTCACTGAAACAATAAGTAATTGGCCCAGAAAGGCAGGAAACCATGTGCCTTACGAGAAGGGGAGCATTTTGTGTGAGAGCATGCGCTGTGTGCCTGGTGTGCCAAGGCTTTGGCAGTGGAACACCAGCCCCAGGATATCAGTGAAATGCAGGAGTCAGGAGAAAGCCTCCATTCTGCTGCAGAATCCATGGAGAAGGAGGGCCCTGCCTGCCCTGAATTATGGTGTTTTACTGGAAGTCAAAAAATTCAGGAAACGCAGCTCTGGAATTTTTTTTTTCTCAGGCTGCAGCCTTCCCACCTGAGGTTTTTCCACTTCTCAGTCTCCCCTAAAGCCTGGTCCAGAGCGGAGGTGGATACACCAGGAAGCTGCTTTTCCACTTCAGATTTCCACTAAAATTTCTTGTTATTACAACAGAGCACTTGATTCAGCAGCACCACTTCACAGCTCTTTTATAAATAGAGGCATTGCCTCTGCCCTGAGGAGCTCACAGCCTACACGAGACAGGCAAAATACAGCAAATCAAGAAAAAGAGGATGAGCAGAAGTGATGAAAGAGAAGGTGCTGCTTGGAGGTCTGAAGTTGGCTAAGGAATAAAAGCTTTGTGGAATCCAGCTTCATGTTTTCCCTCATCAGACTCATGTTGGAACAACCCACTGAATGARTGAGTGCAACAGCAACCCCTGACTTTTGAGAGTCTCAAAATGCTGAGTTCATTTAAAAAAAGAAYGCAAAAATTATGAGACCCGGTGTCTATGAGTGAATGAGAGATTTGGGTTTAAAAATATGGAAATGCAATTTTCATTGCAGTGCTGGAAAACGAAAATATAGCACTCATCTTCCTATGCTCACGTGGCCACTGGTGGTCTTGCCAGTGCACATTTTAAATTTTAATTTTGATCAAAGCCTGTGATTATTCTTAAAGAACAAAGCTCATTGTAAACCTAACCCTGCCCCTGTGGTCTAAAGCAGTAAGAGTTTTAGCATTGCCTTCAGGGAGAGGATTTTCAGCCCAGAATAAGAGAATCCAGAAGAAGGTTCTGAATTTAAAACCACTATGGCAAAATTTAGCATTTAAGTCTCTTTTTGTTGTTGGTGCCTGGCTCAGATCCATTTTTAACATGCTGTTAGCTATCAGAAATACGACACTGGCTACCTGGGTGCCTGCTCTGGGGTAAAACCTGTTTTTAATTGCTATATAAACTCCTTTTATAACATGGTTACAAGATCACAGAGATGGTTCCGAGCAGTAATTAAGGCATATTTAGCAAATATTAAAAATTGCTCAGCAGGGGAATGTTTAACACAGACAAGCAGGAAAACAAACAGCTTTTCAGTTGGAGGTTCTGCCTTATGACAGAGTTGTGGAGTGCCTGCACAGCAGTAAGAAGGGGCTGTGGTGCTTTTGTAGGACACAAAAAAAAAAAAGTAAAAGGAAGGAGTTGGTGTCCTGCATTAGAGCACAAGTGAAAACACTGTGGTCGGACCATGCCTTTGGCAGTGGCCCTCCACAAAGCCTGGTTTACCAGAGGCATCTCAGGAATTTGTCCTAATAAACTAAAAATACATGTAACTGATGTTCTTTGACCCGCAGACAGGCCTGACATGGAGCCATGAGAACAGTGACCAGCAAAGAAGGATGAAACCTGATACTGAGATCCAAGTCGGTTCTCCTGATGGCTTCTGTTCTGCYTTGTAATAGTGAGATGCTCTTTTATCTCGTTCCATGTTGTAGAAAAAAAAATCCTCAAACTACAAACAATTTAAATGTATATATATTAGAGAGAGAAATCAGCCTTCGCGGGTCCGTGGTGCAACTCACTTGTATTCCCACTTTTTAATGCCAATTTGTTTTCCCCAAAGACCCCCAGATGTATTTCTGCATGCATCCAGATAAAAAAGCTCCGGCTGCGGAGCCATAAACCATACGATGAGCGTGCAGGACACCAACGTGAGAGTGTTGGACATATCCACGAACGCTCGAACTGCAGCGTGGAGCAGAGAATTGCCCGTTCTCGGGGGCTGCGAGAATACCTGACGTCTTGATCCCCCACACCCAGACGCTATTTTAAAACACGGAATGTGCATCCCTGGAGCACATTTCCCCGGCCGCTCCCGCCGCAGCCTCTGGATCCCCTAACGGCAGGATCAGGCCCGGCCGCGCGGGCGCAGGGACCCGGGAAAAGCCAGCGCATGATTGACAGCCGCTCGACCAATAGGAGCAGAGGATCCGGCAGCCGACAGCCAATCGACGCCCTCACTGCATCTTAAACCGGCAGCCGCTCCCACCCTATGCCTGAGGGCGGGGACGATGTTCGCAGCCGCCATCTTGTGTGTGGCATCCCCGCCCTTTCCTTAAACACTCCTCCTTCTCCTTTCCCTTTGAAACCCTCCTTACCGGCCCGTCCCCCGAGGCCGGTGGTGATAACCGAGCAAACCGTGGAGTAGTCACCGTGTGGCGGCGGGCGGGGAGTGGCTACGCCACGCTCAAGATGGCGGCGGGCGGCGCCCCGCCGTGGCGGGCGGGCGGGGCGCGCGCGGGTGACGTGAGGCGCTCCGGGCATGGGCAGGTGCAGGAGGTGGCGGCGGCCGGAGTTGGGCCGGCGGTAGCGGCGGGAGAGGAGGAGGCGGAGGAGGAGGGGGCTCGGGCTCGACCGGGGTTCGGRGGCAGCCGGGACACCGCAGCGCCTCCTCTCCGCTCCCTCGCCCCTCGGGGACGCTCCCCCTCGCGGCGCGGAGGGCGGCGGGCGCGGCGCGGCCATGGCCGAGGAGCCCAGCGCGCTGCCCTGGTCCATTAACAAGGATGATTACGAGCTGCAAGAGGTCATCGGTGAGCAGTCATCGGGGTTTGGGGGGTGCAGGGTGCCCCTCGGTTGTGGGGATGTGAGTCCGCTGAGGGAAGGGGAGGTTCTGTCGCCCTCAGTTGAGGGGGTTCCTGTCACACACTCCGCAAAGCAGTGGGGACTGTGTGACTGGCCCCTCCCTCAGCCATGTGAGAGTGTGAGAGGGTCTGTTCCCGCACACTGCGCTGTGTGAGTGTCTGGGGGACCCCTCAGCTGAGTTGGGTCTGTCTCCCCACTCTGAGGGATGTGTGGCTCTGGGGTACCCCTGATCTGGAGGGGTCCCGTCGTACACACCCCGTCACGGACTGGGACTGTGTGACCTTCCCCACAGCCACGTATGTGGGAAGGATGTGAGASGATCTGTCTCCCCGCCTTGCAGGGGAATCTGGGGGGCGTGAGGGTCTTCGGGACCCCTCTGCTGAGGCTGCTGCTCCTCTTTATCTGTGTGTGGGACCCACGAAAAGGGATGTGGGTGTGCCTCATCCCGGGAGAGGATTGCGGTGGTCGCGGGGACACCCCCCTGGTGGGGGGCTCGTCCCTGGCCTCTCTGCCCGATCTTTTGGGCAGAATCTTGTGTCTCTTCGTGTCGGGATGGGTGGGACGGGGTCTGCTCTGAGTGCACTTTTCTTCCCACCGCGGTGTGGTCTGGGATGTGCTGGGCATGAGTTGGTTAGCGAGAATGAACTCCAGAGCTTGCGTGGGCTTTTTCCTTCTAGGGCACCCTCGTTCGTTTGGGGCGATCACATCTCTCAGCGGTTTCGGAGCCCCGCATAGCTTTGGTCCCTTCGCAGAGGGTTTGATAGAGCCGATGAAAGAGCCTTTTATCCTGAGATTTTGCTGCTGCCGTTCATTTTCATTCATTGTCCTCAGCTCGAGGCCCCAGCCCTTGCTCTCCCCACTAAATGATTTTTTTACTTTCTTCACTCTCTATTGGTTTTAAGCTGCCCAGTTACTGAAGGCCTCCCACTGTACTGATTTATTGGCTGTCTCGACCATTTTGTTGGGGTGTGTTTGAGGGATATATTGCTCTAGGGCGAGTGTGTGACACATCAGAGGTGGTGCCACAGGTGACTCTAAGGTCAGTGCCTGCTGTCTCACCCTCCGGAGGCACAGAATGAAGCAGGAGGTGGCAGGGCAGGCTCCTGGCCAAAGGGTTTTAGGAAGAGGGTTAATTCTTAGAGTAATCTTTGTGGAGTGCTTTTATTTGAAGTTTCTAAGTGAAGTAGCACTGTCATGCCCAGGCTTTCCATCTCTGCCTTGCGGGGAAGCTTGTTTTCTGTTAAGGGTGGGAGAGTTTGTGAAAATGCTGTTTTAAGAGATTAAATTCTTAGCATTGTTTAAGAGTAGGAAGGAACTAAAACTGTGGAGTGGGGGAAATCCTTCTGGAAATCCCTGTCAGTCTGGGATCAGGCTTTGTCCTCTCCCTTTGCTCAGAGGGAGCAGCAGTGCTTTAGGAAGGAGACCAACTCCCTGTAAAGACAGGGAAGATGTAATCTTACAGACCAACCCTTTAAATCTCTTTTGGAAAACGTGCCCTGGGGAGGAGGATGTTGAGCCTCTTGGAGGAGCAGGGGATACAGGTGTGGGGAGGAAAGGTGAAAGCATGCCACCCATTTCCTGGGGAAAGAGAACTGGATTTGTCTGTGTAGGAAATACTTCCTTTTCTTTTGAGACCCTGCAAAGGAGTGCTTTGTGATGGCACAAAGCAAGGATTTGGACCTGAGTAATCAAGGATAGGAGCAAATGCCTCTTTGTATCTGGGGAGCAGGGTGGGATGGGAACAAAAGGGAATGTAAATACACTTCTGCTCTTGGGAGAACTTACTGCTGGAGACACACATCCCACAGCCTCAGAGTGTTAGGAGGAGCACAGAGATGTGTTGTCTCATTGTTAACTGACAGAACCTAGGGATAAATCCGAAAAAAAAGTGTTTAAATTTCTTCTGTATCTTTTCCYTGTCCCTCTGCAGACTGAGTTTTTGGATGTCGCCTGCTCACTGAAAGGTTGTGTTGGCATTTTGGCATGTGATGGAGTGTACACTGAGATGTGTATATTGCAAACATATGGTTTCTCTTTTTAACTTTTCCGTCCCCYGCCCCCCCTTTACTCGTTTCAAACACTGGTGTGTCTGCCAGCGGCCTGGATGGAGATGTGACGCAAGTTTCCTAGCACGTATATGATTTGTGGGACAAAATGTCACTGTGTTAACTGAGCTGGACTGCCTTGCCTCCTGCTTCATGTCTCCTATAAACCTCAAGGGTTTTTTGGTTTGGTTTTTTTTTTCCTTTTTTTTTTTAGCTCTCTTTATAACTATAGAGCTGTAAAGGTCCTTCAGCATGGAATAAAGAGACGTTCTGGTGTGGAAAGAGATGAACCTTGCACCGTTGCTTTTAAGGRATTTAACTTGTTTCCTGATGAAAAAAAAAATTACTCTTAAAATTCAGAGTAAATTTTGAGATTACCAGCTCACCTGTTTTTTCACATGGAATAAAGGAAATTCATGTGTAGTCTAATTCCTTAATTTGTACTGTTTTTGCCTGAAAATAGCCATATGTGGCTTTTATTGGGATGTGGATGGTTCCGTACCACTTCAGTGCAGGAATAGAAGGAGAAAGTTTCCTACCTGCAAAGAGAACCTCTGCTGTAAAACTGCCCCCCTGATTCTGGCTAATACTATATATAAATAAAAAGGGATTACTCAGCACTGGTGATGACTCATGCCAATATGAAGGTGTGGATTAATATCTTTGATTATGCTTGGTTAGTGTTAATAACTGCTGAGTAGCCTCCTTAGGCTTAAGTATCTTCTAGTACACTGAATCAAGGAACTTGGATCAGATGGGAACCTGATTTCATTTTAAAAAGGGGTAAAATGGAGGTGGGGTAGAGGAAGCAATTTATAAAGCRTTTCATTGAAATGCACCCCTAGAGTAGAGAGAGTTCTGCAGGTGAATAGGGCCTTTGGAGACACTGCAATTTTTATCTAAAAAGCAGAATATAGTATGTGCTGTGGTGGCGGTTSTGAAGGTGGTTGGTCTTTTGAGTGTGGATTGCATATAAATTACTGCAGTCTTCTTTTTGAAGCCTGAAAAAAATTCGACCTCATGCTGCTTGTGCTGATCAGATACTCACACATGCTGGTTCCCCTGGATCTTACAATTCCTCTTGGAAATGCTGGTAACGGGAGTGAAGTTAGTTGGAACTGGGTCATTCTCATTTTGCTACTTCTTTGGAAAGACRAGAGCTGTGCTGACTGTGGCTGTTTGATTTAGGAGCATCCCCTTTGCTGCAAACAGCCTGTGCCAGAAACAGGAGATAAATTAGTGGTGGGAGTGCTCCCATGCTCTGTTCCTGTGCCCTCTCTCCCGTGACAGATTCCTTCACAACGATGAGGACAGCGCAGGCTGCATGAACAGATGTGGTGGGAGTTTCTTATCCCATCAGAAATCAAGCCTAAATTGGAAATTCAAGTCACCATTTAAGGAATGATTAGTTTTTTTAATGACTGCGGTTTGAGTAGCTTTAGAGTTGGGTCTTGCCTGTGAACATGCTGATCTGTTGGGGCTGAATATTTTGATTCCTGTCAGTGTTCATCCCAACCCCATGTGGGAGCAGTTTTCTTTTGTGGGTACAGAGTAACTTCTTAGAATTAAGATTTCTGCTTTGCCAAATTTGTCAAAATGTCTGTGGTCATCCACCTGGTGCTTGTGTAGTTTTCTCGTGCTGAGAAAGCACTGCCATTGAAAAAGATCAGCCTCGAGGTGCTTACCATGAGCAATCAGAGTCTTTGGATCTTAAAACCAGGCTGAAATGGGAGGCTCTTGTCCAATGATAACTTTAGGGGTTGGGGTTTTTTTTTGGAGCGTGGTGTTCATTGCTGGCTGTGGTGCCTGTGTGCTGGCTACAGCCAGTTTCACATGCCTGATTATTTAAAACCCATTCAAGAAAAATGTTACACTGTACAAAATATAACTGCCAGAGCTCCAAATGGAGTGTTTAGGATTCAGTCTTGGTGCCATATGTTTTGTTTTAGCATTTCCTCATGGATTCCCACTCCTCCCCCCCAGTTTAGCTGAGCAAAATTGATTCCTACACTGTATTCCCAGGATTCAGGCCGGTTAATTCATTTGAAGACTTGYTTTGTGTACTCATTTTTTTCATTAAAGTTGGTAGAAAAGGCTTAATTGTTTTACATTATTTTAATTGTTGCATAAAATTAACTGTGGGCAAATGTAGATAAGTTAAAAATGTGAGTGGCTGTTCATAGTACTTRGTCTGCTTGGGGCATTGAAGCGGGAGATGCTCAGTACCAGTTTCTCAGCTGCTTGGATGTAGACAAGTATATCTTGTGTGAACCTGAGTGCAACAAAATAGCCAGGCTACTCCAGCATCCAGACTACTTTTCCTTTGGATACTTGATGCATCTCATTTCTTTAAGACCTGCTAGAATTAGAATTGAATTCTAGCATTGCCCTGCTAGAATTAGAATTGAACTGAGTTGCTTTTCACCTCAGGGGAGGTGAAACCAAAAGGTGTTTGGTTGTGCGTGTGCCTTTGTTTAGTTCTTCTGTTGTCTGTGCCCTGATAGGAAGGAGGATAAAATGCACAAGACATCAGAGTGAGGACTTAAAAAGCCAAACACTGAAGAAAGAGGCTGGCTGGAAAGTATACACAATTGTTAGCCTTGCCTGCTGGTTTGAGGGGAGAGCAGAGACCGATCCCACTGCTTTCAGCTCTTCTGGGGTATTAAGGGAAAAAAACAAAATGCAGGGTGTTGCATGTGGAAGTAGTTTGCACTTTSCTAGGGTTGGTTTCTATGTAGGAGTTGCTTCCAGTATTGTTAGGTACCTGGACTGATAAATGTTTAACACTTCCATTTCTCAAGAATCCATTTAAATAGTTTCAGTTTAATGGAAATGTGTTGGCTGGTGCTGGGAAGTGTGGCTGTTCTTTGCTTCTGAGCACACCTGAGGGGTGCACATGCTTC